ATAGGAAGGGAAGGCAAGAATCTTTGTTACTGATGGTTTATGATGGTGGTAGAGGGGTTGGGTAGGGCGATAAGTGTGGCGGGTATGGGTATGGGAGGGGAGTAGGGTACCAGAGGGGCTAGTGGTGGCAATTGAGAGGTAAGGAAGGGAGAGGATGGTGGCAAAGGAAGTGGGGTATGTTGATGAGAGTGGCGGGTTTCAATGTAGCAGGGGAGAATGGTGGTAGAGGGGGTGGGAGAAGGGGAAAAGGGTGGCAGTGATGAAGCACAGACACTTCAAAAAGAGAAACGTATCCCTATCGTATCTGTATCGAATACCGATACTCCTCAAATACTCGCAGATACGTATTGGATACTTCGTAAAAGTATCAGAAACTTCTTTATTAATTTTTCATTAATTTCAAAATATCTGATACTTAATTTTGAAGTATCGGATACTCCGTCACATATTACTCTAAACCAAATCAGGTTTAAGTCCCATCAAATAGGGTTGGCTACATGAATCATTCTTCCCCACTCAATTCTATCAAAGGCCATATGGTTAGTCAAATTAAGGAGATTCATCTCTATTTACTACACTATTCCACGTCAATCTAAGTCTGCCCCTTCCCCTAACATTTCTCTCTACACTCACTGTATCATATCTCTTCACTATTGCCTCTGTTGGTTTCCGTTGTATATAACCAAACCATCTCAATCTATTATCTCTCAACTTATCTTCTATTGGTACTATTCCTACCCATTTACGAATTTGCTCATTCCTAACTCTGTCTTTTCGAGTCTTGCCACACATCCACCTTATCATCCTCATCCCAGCAACACTCATGTTATCTACATGTTGTTTCTTAGTTGCCTAACATTTCATCCCATACAACATTGCTGATCTAATAACCATTCTATAAAACTTTCCTTTTAATCTAGTGGGTACTTGTTTATCGCACAATACCCCAAACGCATTCTTCCACTTAAGCCACCCCGCTTTAATTCTATGGACCATAGCTGCTCCAATATCCCCAGCCGTTGTGATAATCGATCCTAAATACTAAAAAAGTTCACTCTTAAGTAGTTCTTAGTTCTCAATCTTAAATTTTCCTCTATTTCCATTGTTATTATTACTAAAATTACGCTCCATATACTCTGTCTTTGTTTTGCTTATCCTAAATCCTTTAGATTTAAGTGTTTCTCTCCAAGTCTCCAACTTAGTGTTAACTCCTTCTCTAGTCTCATCCACTAAGACAATATCATTTGCAAAAAAACATACACCATGGCATATCATCTTAAATATTTCTCATAACTCATCCATAACTAAAGCAAAAAAATATAGACTTAAGGTTGATCCTTAGTGTAACCTCACAGTAATTAAAAATTCACTTGTTTCTCCAGCCGGCAAGCTAATAGTGGTCGCCACACCTTCATACATGTCTCTAATCACATCAATATAGCCTTTTGTTACCCATTTCTTCTCTAACACCCATCAGATTATATCCCGATGCACTCTATCATATGCTTTCTCAAGATCAATAAAAACCATATGAATTATTTTTTTCTCTCCACTTTTCTATTACTCTTCTCAAAAGATAGATCGTTTCCATTGTTGACCTACCGGGCATAAATTCAAATTGATTCTCTAACATCTCTGTTATATCTCACAATCGACGTTCCATCATTCTCGCTCCCACACTTTCATTATATGACACACCAACTTGATTCCTCTATAGTTGTTACAATTCTAGACATTTATTTTATTTTTATAGATTGGCACTAAAGTACTCTTTCTCCACTCCTCTGGCATTTTCATAGTCAACAAACTCTTGTTAAATAACCTAGTCAACCAAGCAACCCTCTTCTTACCTAAACATTTCCAAGTTTCAATAGGGATATCATCAGGTCCTAAAGCCTTATTGGATTTCATCTTCTTAAGCGCAATCTTCACTTCAAAGTTCTTAATCCTGCGATAAAATTTGTAGTCTTGGTTTTTCTTATTACTGGCTATTTCCTCCCCTTTTAACCTTTCTACATATTCCTCATTTAACAACTTCTCGAAACAGTTCTTCCATCTCTCCTTAATCTCTTCATCCTTCACCAACACCTTAGAGTCTTCTCTCTTGATGTACTTAACTTAATTAAAATTTCTTGTTTTCCTCTCTCTTATCTTCGCAAGCTTATATATTCTCTTATCTCCCTCCTTACTATCTAGTCTAGTGTGTAGGTCATTATAGGCTTTCAACTTAGTCTCTTCCACTACTTTTTTGACCTCCTTATTAGTCAATCTATAACACTTACGGTTTTCCTTGGTTCTATCTTTCTGCCATTTTTTAAAGCACTCTTTTTTCGTTTTTACTACCACTTGGACCTCATCCCTCCACCACCAAGTTTTCTTAGAGTTGGGTCTCTTCCTTTTGACTCTCCAAGGACTTCCTTTGAGATTCTCCTCATACGATTAGCCATCAAGTTCCACATAGTGTTAGCATCATCTTCCAAGTCCCAAGTACCTTCTTCAACCATTCTATTCTTAAATATTTCTAATTTATCCCCTTTTAGGTCTCATCATGTTGTCTTACGGTGCCCACTATCCTTCCTAGCTTGGTGTTGCCCTTTAAAGTATAAATCCAGTACCAAAATCCTATGTTAAGACGTCAGACTCTCTCCGGGAATTACCTTACAGTCGGTACATTTTAGACGATCCAAGTCACATATTACTACTTTTACAAAATTTGAATTGTAACATTTCTTGCATAGCATAGTGAGTTGAAGTAATAGAATTTGTCAAATTGATGTCTCCTTATTGTTTCATGCATGTTCCCTATAACTACATAAGGATTTGCAAAAGAATATAACAATAGTAAATTAAATATCAATGAATAAATAAGGAAACTTGAATATGACATTTTTACTAGTGCCAAAGGGAAAAGCACAATGGCAAGTTGTGGATTATTCTATGATTGTAATATAAATATATTAGACTTGATATTAAAATGAAATATTTGCAAGACCTATTGAAAAACTTAAATTAATACCTAATTCTTACAAGTTAGTATTTTGCATCATAAAATTATAGTGGAGCTTTTCAAAATCTTGAGTGTATATTTCACTACTAATAAATTTTCAAATTTTTGTTTTACAAACGTATCCTAACCGTACTTGTATATTATATTTTTAGATTTGGTCGTATCACCGTATCAGTATCGTATCGTATCGTATCATATTGTATTGTACCCGTATTGTAACTGTATCCATATCTGTATCCGTATCCATATCCATGTTTCCAAGGGTGGTAGATATAGGTGTGGGAGGAGGAGGGGAAAAAGGGCTGGTGGTAGTAGTGTAGAGGTGGCAAGGGGTGGGGTGGAGGTGCAGGTGGAGGTGGAGGGTGGAGGAGGGGCTTGGGGTGGCAGCAGGGTGTTGAAGGTGTGCAATTTGTTTACTCTTTCTTTCTTTTATGTGTATGCTAAAGGAAAATCATCCATAGGGTTATGTATTTTGATTCTTTTTTGGTGTTGTTGCGGTGAGTTATGGAAATATCATTAGCTACTAAATCAAACTTTGTTGAATAAGAACTAAGTCTATGCCTAGTGGTAAATTGCGCCCATTTCTCTCCTATTGTTTCTAATATTAGCTTTTTAGCAATTTTTTTGTTTGACAGTTTGACCAATTTTTCTTCTTACTTAATTAGTCGATGTTGCTAAACAGCTGTTGTGTGCTGTGCTAAGCTTCAAAAGTATACACAGTCCTCTTCTATTATGAATCTGGATTCTTACTCAAGCTCTAGCTACCTACAATAATTATTCGACGAAATTGGTGATTCTTTGCCAGTGTCACTTTTAATGCGATTAGTTTGGATTCCATGGTGGACTAAGCACATATCCCATGTTGGACTTCATCTCATCATTGTTCAGGTTCTAGTTAGGTAATCCGGATTCCAGTTTTTCCCTCATTGAACTCTGATTTTCTGGACCTCCATGGGATAAATACATATTCATTGTTGGAATTGCCTAGGCTGTAGTTAGATAATCTGAAATGGAGCTAGGAGGCCTAAGGTAGTGTTCTTTAAAATATTTCACTACTGCCATCTCATAATCTCATTTACATAAAAAAGTGGGGTATCGCTACCTTGTGCACTGGGTATGATATTTAATTACATCAAATATATTAAGTGTGGGTTACTTTGTTTGCTTATTGTATATTTTAACAGGTTTTATTTAGGTTTATTTTTTTCCCCTAACAGTATCTTGACTGTATATATCTGTGTACATAGGTACACGTACAAGTATATATATAGATAAAATGTGAAGCAGGGTATTGTTGTTAATTTTCTTGGACTATGCATATGAATTGAAGATTTGCTTTCTCTCTCTCTCTCTCTCTCTCTCTCTCTCTCTCTGTCTCTCTCTCTCGCTCTCTCGCTCTCTCTTTCTTAACACACAACACACACACAACTTCACATGTGATTTCTTTGCTGATGTTCAATTGAATTTATGATCCTCGCCATCTTTTTGTATCAAGATATAGTTCATATGCATTCTTTTGATTCTTTTAAATTTAATATTTGTAAAATAAATTGATGTATATTATTGATTGATGTATTACAAGATTGATTTAATTACAATTCCTATACAATCTATATATAGAAGAAAATGTGGTAGTAGGTGTAGTGGAGGTGATAGTGGGTTAGGTGAAGTGGAGTGTGTGGTGAAGTGGAGGTAGGTGAAGTGGAGTGTGTAGTGGAGTAGGTGAAGGTAAAGATGGGAAATTCTAACAATATTCATGGAGAAAGTTGTTGGAGGCAACTCCTTTAGTATAGTTACTTATCCTTGCACATGAGTCTAATAATTTTGCGTGTTAAATCATAGCAGTGGATTTAAACCAGTGCATCAGAATATTCTGCTACAGTTACTTACATTGAAGCTAAAGTTTCTACAAAACAGAAAACAACAAACTTGTTTTACTGTCTGTCTCTATGATTTTAAGAACGTTGATTTTTATGTGTTATGTTGATTGCAGCATGGGGGAGCTAGAAGTTGAAAAGCATGCTAACTATATTTTATCAGTAGAAAAGGTGTGCTTACTGCAATTTTTCTTTAATTTTGATGTTTTCTTTTTTCGAAAAGAACAGATTTGTAGCTGACTTGTTTCCTCTTATCCATTCAAATTTTGGAAAATTTTCTTTCAGAAGAAGGATGATTTTGAATCTGTGGTGATGGAACATCTACGAATCAATGGAGCATATTGGGGGCTGAGCACTCTGGATCTTTTGGGAAAAATTGATGAAGTGAACTCTGAGGAGGTTGTTTCATGGGTCATGATGTGCCAACATGAATCTGGTATGTGATAATGATACCATAGTTTATCTCATTTCAAATGTGAATTACTTCCATTTTTTATCGGTTAAATATGGACACGGTGTGAATTGTGATGTACCCCATACAGTTTGATGTTTGAAAATCGAATTCTAATTACTTAACAATTGGAACTTATCTTCAAGATATATGTTGCTTTAGAGCATATGATGATATATTTGTTCATATAGGTGGATTTGGTGGTAATATTGGACATGACCCACATCTACTGTATACCCTCAGTGCCATTCAAGTTTTAGCACTTTTTGACAAGACAAATATACTTGACATTGATAAGGTGTCAAACTGTATCCTTCAGCATGTGGTTTGGAAGGCTTCGAAATTTTGTGGCATGTCGATCTATTTTTTTGACTACTTTGCTATGAGATATCCAAGTTTGCTTTCATCCAGATTCCAAGACTGTGTGTCAAATATTATTCTTTCAGTTCATACAGCTACCGTCACACTTCGGATTCACAGGATCCAAGCCCGTGAATAAAGAAGTAGAATAAACTGGATAATCAATGGGATAGCTGAATCATAAAGGAATTTAAAGGAACAAATGGAATTGAAAGAAGAAATAATACATTAGAACAAATGGAACCCATAATCACACTCCATTCTAATACGTACATTCAATGATTCAATAACTAACATGCATTCTATATTCAAAGCTATATGAGTCTTTTGAATATACAACATGCCGCGAAAATAATCATTCACTGTGTTTAAATGGCCCATAGGCTACTACAGAAAAATAGGGTCTAGCCCTTAAATAAGTCGCCCAGCCATACAAAACAAGGCCTTAGGCCATCAACAAGAGAGCTAATAGCCACATCCAAAGTTCTACACGAACTCATGGTCGTGGTAAACACTTGAAAAGAGTTAAACAACAAGGGATGAACATATAGTCCAGAAAAGAATGCTTCCACTATATGAATTCACAATGCATATGATCATGATGTTGTACATTATACATAACAATATTTGAAACCTAATTTCATTTCAAAACAGTCATTTATACTTTCACAAGTTCCATATGAAATGCAAGTTTCCAATTCGCAAAACACGTCCAGTTAATTAAGATGAATTCCTACATTGTGGATCTGCTAGTGGTCTATCACAAGATCTACCTAAACACCTTCACTTTATCGGTTGCTTGCTGGAAGGAAATTAGCACCTACTCCGCACGGATTTCTTGTCTTTCACTTTGGAGTCTCAACCCAACTTAACAATCTCATCAATCTCTATACACTACCTCGAATTCACCATTATCTAGAAATCCATTTCATTCTCAAATCCATTTTTTTTTCAAAAAGTTCAATCCACGGTTCTCAAAACCAATTCATTTCCAAGAATACAATTCCAAGTTCTAATTCTCAATTTTCAATTCAACCAAGTCCAAATATTTCAAGCTTTCGAAACAATTCTTGACATTTTATGACTTATAAAATTTTCATGAGGATATATATCATGATCCAAGAGGCGCGAAACGGGTGTTATTATGAGAAGATTCTGCAATTTATAACATGATGGTGATAAACCACAATTTCATCAAATACTGCTGAAATGATAAATTAGGGTTTTGAAATAATTGGGGCTTTTCTTTTGGGTGAAATAATTGGGGCTTTTCTTTTGGGTGAAATAATTGGGGCTTTCAATTTAACACAATGTACAATGATATATTCTCAAAATAATGCAACGAGAAGGAGGAAAACATCAATTATTCTCAGCCATCATTTAGAAACCCTAACTTGTTAGATGCATGCCTGAGAAAATGGTTATCATTTTGTATAAACAAACTATCACAAAAGTGAAGAGAAACCAAACCTTAGCTTGAGGAAAATGAGTGAAAACCAACACCAATTAGATGACTAGAAAGCGCTTGATGAGTAGGGAAACTTTGTTTCTTGGACTCTTGGCAAAATCCCCCTCCAAGGGCTTCGAATCAAGGAGTGAATGTAGAGAGACATGGGAGTAAGAGAGGGTGTTGTAAATCATAAATGAGAAAAAGAGGAAGTCTGATAAAGTTATAAAGCAATAACTAAGAAAAATGCAGCGTTTAAAGAAGTGAAAGCGCGACCTGAAGTGTGGCCGGACATCTGCCCAGTTGACTTGCCTGCCTAGAAATTCTCAACTTGCTGCCCCTGAATCAGAAATTTAAATCAATTTGACAATTCCCAACACAATAAACATAACATTATAAATACAATACAGCAGGTATTACCAAATAATATAGTCGTTACAAATACTACCTTAGTAGTTCAGATATGGAAGGGTAACTGAAAATAAAAAGGCTACTCCGTAAATGTTCCAACATTGACTGGACTGATTATTAAAAAATGTAATTGATGGTAAAAAGACCATTTCTAGAATTTTTTTTTTTTTGTTATACTTGATCTTTAATCAGATATCGCTGGGCTGCAGAATGAAGATGGGTCCTTTTCAGGTGACATGTGGGGTGAAGTTGATACACGGTATTAAATTTCCCCAACTCACTTGTATTTTCTGCATCCTCTGTTTATCTTGAAGTTGTTAGTTATTCATGTGGAAACATTATAGCCAGAACTATTCTTTCTATAGGTTCTCTTATATTGCAATTTGCTCTCTTGCCCTGTTGCATCATTTGGATAAAATTAATGTGGACAAAGCTGTAAAGTACATTGTCAGTTGCAAGAATCTGGATGGTGGATTTGGATGCACACCTGGTGCAGAATCTCATGCAGGACAAAGTATGCCGTGCATATTATGCTGTGTGTTTTAATATATGATTCTTGTTTTTGATTACTACTGAGTTAATCAAGCTGGTGAATCATCCCGACTGTGAGTTTGTCTCATTTATAAACCTATTGAGGTTAGAATGTTCTTCGATTTTATAAGTGCAAGTTCTTGATTATTTTTCAAACTGATTTTACATTTGTAATTTTATCTTGTTTGTTTGACAGTTCGTTTATTGTCGTATGTTAGCATTAAAGTAAGGGTTGTGGGATTGAACTGAAAAGAGTAGAATAGTCGGAACACAAGTAATTATGTGATTTTTGTCATACTTTTTGCTGGCTTAAAGCAAATTGCACTTGAGAACACCTTCTGTACTCAGTATTTATAGCTAACTCGGGAGCCACAAAGGTACCTACAGTCTGGAAAATACTCTGCCTACTAGATAGCACAACTTTAGCAAAGGCTTTGGTTTGGTTTAAATTTTTTTAATTGACATATATATATTATATATGTTATAAATGAGTTTTAATTTTTTTTATAATATTTAATTAATTAAATACAACATAAAAAATATTTTTTAAAAAATGAATAGCAAATAAACATTCTTTTTAAATATTAAAAAAAAATAATTAGTTAGGTGGAATTTAAAAGTAATGGAAATATAATATAATCTGTAAATAAATTAGTTAGGTGGAATTTATATGTATTTGTGCAGTGGACATCCAGCAAGACAGATTTCATTAATTGTAAAAAGAGAAAAGTTAATTGAAAAGTCATTCTGTAAAATATGGTATTAAGGCACAACTTAAATGAAAAGATATTAATTTATAATATATAATATATATTATACAAAGGAAAATTAATAAATTTAAGTTTTAGACTTTTCAGTCTCTTATTACGATTGAAGAAAAGGCTGTGTGTGAGAGAGAGAGAGAGAGAGAGAAGAGTAGAGAGACAGAGAGGGAGTCTGGCAGTGATTGAGAGAGAGAGGGAGGGGATTTTGCTTTCAACAATCGAAGAAGATGAAGATCAAAGAGCTTGCGAAGCAAATACATGGAAGAAGCTCCACTTTTGTAGCCCTAATCGCAAGACCAGATCAGGTTTTTCTTTTCCTCGCTTCTCTCTCAATAGAAATGTGATTCTCTCTCAATAGAATCGCAAGTCTTACACGTTTCTCTCTAAAAAGCGCAGAATTGTGTTTCTTAGAAAGAAATGTCACTTGTTTGTGCGATTCCTGCTACTAAGATTCTTCCAATAAGAATTCTGAGGGACAAAAACTTATTACTATGAACTAAGTTAGAAATGTGATTCTCTCTCAATATAATCTGTAATTAAAACTAAAGTCTCCTGTGTGGGACTCTCAAAGGAAAGAGAGTTCTTAGGAAAAGATCCTTTGGCTAATGATGGTGGAAGCCATTTCCTCTGAACTTGCTTCTATTGCACTCCCTTATTTATTTGCTATAGCTTGCTTTTATTGCAGTTCACTTGCTTTTTTATCTTTAGTGCTGCAAGAATTGGATTTTTTGTTTGGGAGGCTAAACCAAAGAGCACCATTAGTGGAGTAAATTGTCAAAAAGGCATTTCTTTTTTATCCTTTGTAGTGCACCTGAAAATACTTCTCTGTGAATTGCCTACTGTAAAAATTTATGTATGAAATCATTTACATGTTGAACAATTCTCAGATTACTTTTAATTTTTACTTTGTCATGGTTGCACTGTTGGTGTTTACTTCCTTTGGCCACTCTTACAAGAAATAGTGAGACATGTAAACAATCCTCACTGGGAGCCACCCTTCACCAAAAATATATGCCTTGAGGACCTATGAGACCAATTTTTCCCTCTTGAAAAGCTACAAGTCTTGCATGAAGCGCTCTGGTTGCATCAGCCATAATCTGCAATAAAGCTAAAATAGAAAGCTCTTTTATTGGAAAAACCAGTTGGCAATCATTCAAGAAATTGGAAATTCTGAAGGAAGCTCAAATATTCTGACAAGAGTTGGCCAACATGATGAGCATGTAATGTTACCAACATGCTACATGAGTTAGAGTCTGCAATACTTGTCAGTGGGTTTGTTGAAACTTATGATTTGTGTGCTTATGCTTAGGCTGCCCAAGAGATTATATCGTTGAATTTTCATGTTTGTTGCAGAATGAGGCAATGATCTAAAGAGCAAATGGATATCAGATAAAAATAAGTAAATATAAGAAACAAATGGACAGTAGAAAAAAACGATTCCAATAAGACATGATCTTTTGAGTGAAACAAATGGACAGTAGATAAAAACGATTCCAATAAGACATGATCTTTTGAGTGATTATGCAATCAGTCTATTAAGTGTATTGGAAAATTCTCTATGAAGAGTAAACAACTCTTTAAGATGTTATTGAGCTAATAGTAATTGATATATCTTATGGTTTGTATAAATGTTTGAATTCTGAAATTAGACTAAAAAATTACACTGGTGGTATGGCCATTTTAACTGCAGTTTTTTGTTGTGTGGGTGCTCTTGCAATAACCGGTTCTCTACATCATATTGATAAGAACCTCCTTGGGTGGTGGTTATGTGAGCGACAAGTTAAATCTGGAGGTCTTAATGGGCGTCCTGAGAAGCTTCCTGATGTAGGTTATTCTTTTTGAACTGAAGATTTTTCTTTGAATATTTCTGTAATTTTTATTACTAAAGCTTCTACTTCACTGTAGGTCTGCTACTCATGGTGGATCCTTTCTAGCTTGATCATCATTGACAGAGTTCATTGGATTGACAAGGAAAAGCTTGTTAAATATATCTTGGACTGTCAGGTTAGAATCTAATATTCCACTTAGTCTGGAAAATTCCACAATGATGACCAGTCAATTTCTTCTCATGTCATAATTCCATATCATTTGTGGTTTTACCTTTAGATCGTATGTTGAAAAATGCAGGATAAGGAGAAGGGAGGTATTTCGGATAGGCCAGATGATGCTGTTGATGTCTTTCATACATATTTTGGAGTTGCTGGTATGTAACAATTGGGTCTCTTTCTTTTGTATTTTATTCCATTATAATATTATATGGTTTTTTTTTGTGTGTTTTTTTTAGGGGTTGGAGGGAGGGTATTCTCGTTCTCACAAGTAGGGTTGTTCATGGGTCGAGTCAGTTCAGGTTCATAGTTAACCTGTCACCCGAACCGACTATATCCGGTGGAAGATTTGGTTACCCGCATTCGACCAAAATAAGATTCAAAATTGACCGAATCAGCTGACCATTGGCTTCTTTGAAACCATCCGTTTATGTTTTTTTGGGTTCAGATCGGTCGGTTTGGGCGGGTGATTCAGGTATTTGAACAGTCCTATTCTCAAGTATGTTGTACATGATGAAATTCTGTTGTAGTTATAATAGAAATTAATGTCCAAAGTTTGAAAAGGTGTTATTGTGGCTCTTGTTGAGACAAAGTGATGTAGAACGCTATATATAAAGAGAAAAGAGAAGAGGACCACAACCTTAATACAAAAGGTTATAACTGATAGGTGCCGAAATGTACCCATTCAGGGCCCCTAAAATACATTTGTTAGTCCCTGAATTATTGTTACTTGATAGTTGTAATGAATTTGTATGTGTGTAGGTCATTCAGGCTTGTGAGATGAAATTAACCTTCAATTGAAGTATTTGAAACCCGAGACACAAGGTGTAACCCAATTTTAAAGGCTCAGATGATGTAAATAATTTGAATCAAGCAATAATCTTATACTTAATGTCAATGATCCCAAAAATTGAATAATACAATGCAAACCCTGGAAATAATAAGTCTAAGGAAAACTAATCAAAATAGGAAGTTAAATCCTATTATTATTTGCAAACTTAATCCTAATAAAATAAGAAATTAAATATTGCTAATATCTTAATTAACTATAAATATAAATATTAAAACACAAAATGACGAATAAGAATTTGGCCTCGAGTTCGCTCTGAAACATTGAACTCTTCCATACCAGCGAATCAAGTACTTGGACAATGCCAATTGCCTGATCTTTGTTTCAGCGCAATGAATCCCTATGATTAAGCTGTTGAGGAGGTTCACCAAACATGAACTGAATGCATGGAGGAAATCTTCAACACCAATAAAATCAATTCTTTCGAACTTGAACAAGTAATCAATTGGTGGTGTATGAATAGGATTTAAGAAGTGTTAAAATCCACCTACTCTCCACCTACTTCACCCACTTAAACCTACTCCACTAAACCTAACCCACTACACCACTACCACCTCACCTACTTCACCCACTTAAACCTACTCCACTAAACCTAACCCACTACACCACTACCACCTCACCTACTCCACTAAACCTAACCCACTACACCACTACCACCTCCACTTCACCTACTCCTTACCTACTACACACTCACCCTCTTCTATATATAGGAATCATGAATCATTGTAATATAAATCAATCAATCAATCAATAATACAATTCTCTCTTTCTCTATACATCAAATTTAACAAGAAGTTTGAGTGCAACTTGAGGTTCAAAACTCTTCTTTTGGTAGGAGCGTTGTCTGTGTGAAAGCGACTTCTTAAACATCTGAATTTTCTTCCGAAAGAATTTCACTGTCCTCAGGTTGGAATGGCTTGATCAACAATTTCCACATGAACTTCACAAGCACTTCGAGGACTGTTTGAAATATTTCCTAAAACATGGGCCAACAATTTATTCAAAATTGGTTGTATTTGACGCTTCCCAAAATTGGTAGTTGAATTCAAAGGGCAAAATAATAATTTTGACCTCGAGGCTTCCCCTACAAGCTTCCCCCAAATAGTATGTACTTTTTGACTTTTTAACTTTTGGTCCTAGTTGGCTAAGGAAGTCTTCTAGTCCTATATAAAGCAATCTATTGCTTCTAATAAAATAACAATCATAATTTATATAATTTTTAGGGTATGAGCCTCTTTAGGGTTTGTGTGATGCAACCCAACCCTAGGTGTGATGCCTAAGAAATTCTAAGAGTGATTCCTAGTTTTCTTCATCTTTTTCTCTTTTCCTATTGCCTCTGTTCACAGATTACTGCTTCCGGCCCATAAACAGTCTTTTTTCTGTCACAAACTCTTGTTTCCTTCAGCCCAAACCATTCATAACTAAACCTTAACCACCCCTAGCTTTATTTCACTAAACTTAACCCTAGGTTAGCTTAAAACTTGCTTCAAACCTGCGTGTGCTACATCAAGTATTGGGCTAGTTTTATTTTTGACTAATTTTTTTTCAAGGCTGCTGGACCTCCTTTTTTGTTTTTTTTTTTTTTGTGGGCTGAACTGGTTTGTATTTTAGGTTGGGTCTAGGCTGGGTTGGTTGGGCCTGAGGGAGTAGTATGTGATTGGGCTTAAATAAAGGAATAAGTGGGGTTGGTCTGAACTGGGTGTTTGGGCTCATTGGCTAAATCAATTGGCCAGTTTGGGGAATTGGGCTGATTTTTTTATTGGGCGTGGGTTGGGGTGTATGGGTAGCTGTTTGGATTTGTGGGGTGTTTAGCTGCTAGCATTGGGCTTGAGTAATAAAGGGCTAGTTGGGTTTTGGGCTAAAGTTGGATTTTAATAGTTTGGGTTCCATTATAAGATGGGCTAGCAAGGTTCTGAAAAGCGATTACGGTCGCCATAACAGTGGCGGTGGCACGGTTGCAATTGCGGGGTGTAAAGGTCATAGCATAACGGTTGCGGTAATCGGAACTGTGAATTTTTTTATTTTTTGCACAATTTGAAAAAAAACTTACCGATACGCATATTTTTTTTTCATAATCATATTTATTGGGTTTTAAAATAAATGTTGATCGATTTTTGTAAATTTTTAAATATGATCCAATTTATTTTATATTTTTAAATCACTATAAACCGAGTTTTTTACATTTTATTTTAATAATTAATGACTTTATATGTCATAAATTCATATTACGCTTGTGGAAAAAAAAAATTAATTGGACTTAGATGTATAAAATTATTTTTTTAATTATTATACTTTGAAAGCATATGTAAATTTTAACTTGAATAGTTTTAAAAAATAAATTATACATGCTAATGTAATCGTATAAAAAATAAATTATAAAGAATTTTTTTTTTTTTTTTGTTGGCTTGGATCACTTGGATATTCATTCTCTTGTTGGATAATCTGTAAATAAAAATAAAATAAACTAATCAAAAAAAATTAACATGTATAAAATATGTATTAATATATAATTATAGGCGTTACGTTTTTTAGATATTTTATAAAAAATTCAATCACTAACTATTATATATAAAATAAAGAATGACAAAAGTAAAAGAATAAATAAGATCCTTAATATATATATATATATTTATTTTAATCAAGCCAAATAGATAATGACCATACTTATTATTATTATTATTAAACAATATATAGATACACAAAAATAAAATGGTTCAGTAATAGCAGCCAAATAGAATAGCATAGGTTTTACAACTTCAACAAATTAATAACAGATTCTTCATCTTCCCTCTTCTCTCTCTCTCTATCTCCTACTCCATCTTTCCTCTTCTCTCTATATCTCTTTTCCCCAATTTTCAGCTTTTTTTCTTTTCTTGAAAGAAGCAGTTCGTAACTATTACGTAACGGTTACGGAACCATTATAGTTGCTATGGCAACCTGTACGAACGACACACCTGTGAATTTCAATCACACCGCAAAAGCGGGAGGAACGTGTGGTGCCTACTGCCCCAACCGTTACGTAACGCCGCATTTTGAAACCTAGGGTGTAACAGTGTCTAACGGTTGCGGCCGCTTTTTTAAACCTTGAGTGGGAGTGTTTTCAGGTCACGTTTAAGAGTTAAGAGTGACTTGTTGTCCTAGTCATCTTCTTAATTGATTGATCAGGGAGATCGGGGAGAAAACTCACCAATGATCGACGATGATGGCAAGGAGGCTAGACGCAACAATGATCAATGGTGAGGGTCGACGGCAATGGAGGTTTGTGAAGAGATCGAGGCTCTAACTAGATCTGGAATCACCAAATCCCTACAGCGTTGACTCTTTTGCAGCGGTGAAATGGATGGAGTGAATGACGATGATTGTGGAATAACCTACGGTCGATGAGAAGACTGCAATGATAATGATTCAAGGAACATTGTCGAAATAGGGCGATGGATATGCTAACTTTGATTTTAGCATTGATTGGACTATATTAGGTCGCTGCTTGAGATGGTGGTAGTTGGCAGCCGCAATGCGGGGAAGCTTGTGAATGACAGATCTAAAAAAATGAGTGCTTTTAGAAAGAGAAGAGAATGGTAATAAGATCTTAGGCTCTAATACCAAAATGATGTAGAACGCTATAGAGAAAGAAAAGATAGGAGGAGAGGGCCACAACCCTAACACAAACGGTCACAACCTTAAACTCAATATCAATAGTCCCTATACAGAATAATACCATGCAAACCTTATTATTTATAAGTCAAAGAAAACCTAATCAAATGGGAAATCGAATTCTATTAATATTTGAAAACTTAATCCTAATAAAATAAGAAATTAAATATTGCTAATATCCTAAATAAATATAATATGAAAACATAAAATTAGAAAATAAATAAAATCTCAAAGCCAACATTAACACTCTGTTTGGATCATGAGATCAGAAAAGAAAGTAAATGATTAGAGCTTCTCACCTTGGTGAGAAAAGAAAAGAAAAGAAAAGAAATTATTGTGGTTTCTCACATTCTTATTTGGATGGACAATCACTAATTATACATATGTCTTTTTATTTTATGTGTTTTGTATTTAGAGGGGCGCCGCATCGACGCCTGGTTGTGGTGAAAAATGGGCAAAGGTTTCCGCGCTTTTCTGGACGAGCGCAGGTAAAGAAGCTAGTCCAAGACTATAGGTTTAGGGTAGCCACTTGGAACATAGGAACCTTAACTGGTAAGACAATGGAATTGGTAGATGTTATGATTAGGAGGAGAGTTAGTATAGCTTGCATACAAGAAACTAAGTGGACGGGAGAGAAAGCTAGGGAAATTGAGAATACCGGTTTTAAACTATATTATAGTAGTAAGGATAGACGCAGGAATGGGGTAGAAATCATAATTGCCAAGGGTCTTGTGGAAAGTGTGGTGGTGGTCATTAGGAAAGGAGATAGGATTATGCTAGTTAAACTAGTTATTGGAGGGAATATAGTGAACATTATTAGCGCATACGCCCCTCAAGTAGGGTTAGATGATTCAGACAAGAGGAATTTTTGGGAGCAAATGGATGAGATCTTACAGGAGATACTCGTAGGAGAGAACCTGGTTATAGGTGGAGATTTTTAATGGCCATGTGGGCATAGATAAACTAGTTATGAA